ATACCCAAGCTTAGGCTCTTGCCACTCTTTATTCCATAGTCCATAAAAGCTTTACCCAAAACTTGAAAACTTCACAACACAAAACTCAACAGGAAATCTTATAAGCTCCGTTAGTGAAAGAAAACAAAACCACCACATAAGTTACTGCAATGAACTCATTCTTTATTTATTTTTGTGTTAAACCTACTGTATTCCAACTTCCTTATGGTTTATAAACTAATTTATTAGCCATATATGCATTGAAATAAGCAAACAACACACGAAAAATAGAATCTGTCAAAAACAGAACAGTCTGTAGCAATCTGTAACTAACGCAAACTTCTGGAACTCTAAAAATCCTACCAAAATAAGACGTACTGGATAATTTGTTTATTGATCAGCAGCAAAAAGAATCAATGCAAAGGTTCTTTTCTGTGATTTATTGAATTTTTTCTCGTGAGCGCAAAGTTTCTGTTTTTCAGCAGAATCAAATCAACCATCATCATAGTTTATCCTATAGGTTCTACTTGGCACAAACACTAAACAAAAGATAAAAACACATCTAAACAGAAAGTAGAAACAAAATTTAACACTAAACAGGAACAAAAACAAAGAACATAAAGAAAATTGGGTTGCCTCCCAACTAGCGCTATCGTTTAACGCCCTTAGCTAGGCATAAAAGCAAGGATAGATCTAACGAGTGCCATCTTTGGCGGGCAATTCTTCAATGAGGCATCTATCTTTCTTAGAAATTTCTTTATTTCTAGTAATTATCAAACTCTTAGGCACAAGATCGAAAAATTCATTCATAGCAAATGGTTCCTTAATGACGGCAAAAAGATTGGGATGAACACTTATAGATTTAAGATCCGCAGTTTCCTTACTAGATGATTCATCCTTACTCTTAGGAACATAAGTAAGCTTAGGTTTTTTAGTAGACGAACTTGGAGTGTTTTGAATGGAAGAAAAAGAGGTTCCCAAATTGGTAATGATACCCTCAAGTTTATCGATTCTTGTGGAATCTAGATTTATTCTCTTGTTAACTATGGGTTCTTTTTCTTTAATATTTTTCAAAGTCGTTCCTACCTTAGATCCATATTATGTAATTTGATTGTGGATCTTTTTATCAAGATTTTCAATTGATTCAATGTTAGCAACTTTATTCTCAATAATTTCAAGTCTTTGCATAACATGCTCCAAGGTTAACATAGTTCCATTAATCAAAGGAGGTGGTGAGCCAAATAAATCTATTAAGGCATTGTAAGAATCAAAAGTATGGCTACCCAAGAAATTCCCTCCGGTAGTGGTATTAATGATATATCTAAACTAAGGATATATCTTCCTTTGCTTAAAATTTAAAACTTCACTCTTGGGAGATAACGGAGAAGATAAGAGACTAGTCATAGTGACAAGGTGAATGAACTAACACACGAGCAAGCAAAAAGGCAAATGAGAAAAAGGCGAAAGAAAAGAGAGGAGGAGATTGGGAAAGAGAGGGCGAATAAAACGGCAAGGGTGAAGTGGGGAAGAGGAAAACAAGAGGCAAATGGCAAATAATGTAAATGTGAGGGAGATGAGTTTGTGATGGGTACTTGGTATGTCTTGACTTGAGCGAAGACCTCCCCGGCAATGGCGCCAGAAATCCTTCTTGCTACGTCTTGAGCTAGCGTTGGTTTTCCCCGAAGAGGAGAGGGTGATGCAGCAAGTGTAGCGTAAGTATCTCCCTCAGTTTTTGAGAACCAAGGTATCAATCCAGTAGGAGGCTCCTCAAAAGTCCCACGCACCTACACAAACAAACTGAGAACTCGCAACCAACGCAATAAAGGGGTTGTCAATCCCTTCACGGCCACTTGCGAAAGTGAGATCTAATAAAGATAGTATGATAAGATAGATATATTTTTGGTATTTTATGATATAGATGCAAGAAAAGTAAAGATGCAAATAAAAGTAGATTGAAAGCAAATATGATAAGAGATAGACCCGGGGGCCATAGATTTCACTAGAGGCTTCTCTCGAGAGCATAAGTATTACGGTGGGTGAACAAATTACTGTCAAGCAATTGATAGAAAAGAGAATAATTATGACGTTATCTAGGCATGATCATGTATATAGGCATCACATCCAAAACAAGTAGACCGACTCCTGCCTGCATCTACTACTATTACTCCACACATCGACCGCTATCCAGCATGCATCTAGAGTATTAAGTTCATAAGAACGGAGTAACGCTTTAAGCAAGATGATATGATGTAGAGGGATAAACTCATGCAATATGATATAAACCCCATCTTGTTATCCTCCATGGCAACAATACAATACGTATCTTGCAAACCTTTCTGTCACTGGGTAAGAACACCGCAAGATTGAACCCAAAGCTAAGCACTTCTCCCATGGCAAGAAAGATCAATCTAGTAGGCCAAACCAAACCGATAATTCGAAGAGACTTGCAAAGATAACTCAATCATACATAAAAGAATTCAGAGAAGATTCAATTAATAACCATAGATAAATCTGAACATAAACTCACAATTCATCGGATCTTGACAAACACTCCGCAAAAAGACATTACATCGAATAGATCTCCACAAGAGAGGGGGAGATCATTGTATTGAGATCCAAAAAGAGAGAAGAAGCCATCTAGCTAATAACTATGGACCCGTAGGTCTGTGGTAAACTACTCACAACTCATAGGAGGGGCAAGGATGTTGATGTAGAGGCCCTCCGTGGTCGATTCCCCCTCCGACAGAGTGTCGGCGAAGGCTCCAAGATGGGATCTCGCGGATACAGAAGGTTAAAGTGGTGGAAATTGTGTTTCGTGGTGCCCCTGGATATTTTCGGGGTCCGTAGGTATATATAGGAGGAAGAAGTACATCGGTGGATGCCCGAGGGGCCCACGAGACAGGGGGCGCGCCCTACAGGGGGGGCCTCCTATCTCGTGGGGCCCTCGGAGCTTTCTTGACTTGCACTCCAGGCTCTCCGGATCATATTTGTTCCAAAAATAACGCTCCCGAAAGTTTCATTCCGTTTGGACTCCGTTTGATATTCCTTTTCTTCGAAATACTGAAATAGGCAAAAAAACAGCAATATGGGCTGGGCCTCCGGTTAGTAGGTTAGTCCCAAAAATGATATAAATATGTAAAATAAAGCCCATAAGCATCCAAAATAGGTAATATAATAGCATGGAACAATCAAAAATTATAGATACGTTGGAGACGTATCATCCACCCTGCTGATAAAGAGTCCAGCATAGAGGTGGCAGACCATATATGCCTCCGCGTCCAGGCAATGGCCTCCCCCAATCGTGACGAAGAATAAAACATGGAAGGGTCACGGTGTAGCCCCTCCTCGGTGTGTCCCTATGGCATGAGAAACAAGGGATCCTCCCCGTTTCTACGTCAGACCAGAAAAGACGATGGGTAAAAAATGCCATCATTTTCCTTATATTTTGAGTGTGAGGTAATCATGGAAAATTGTTGGCAAATGTGCAATGGTTGTGATTTTACGATGATTTGTGATTTGGGGAAATTAGCCTAAATGGTGAACCATTTCTTGATAGTATGATGGGTGATTCTAGGACAAATGATGTCGATCTCGAGGGTGCATCATTCTCGCTTTTTGATCATGCGTTCCGCCAGTATATGAAATTTGATCAATTTGAACCCTCTGACTCATGGAGGAAGGTTGCAATTCGGGGAGCAAAGTTCAAGCTCAACGAGTATATTGCTCTTGTCATGGCATGGGAAGATATCTCTCTCGATGAGGTCACCGGGAAAGATCAAACGAGTGCAAAGTATTGGAAGTGCATCGAGGAGCGTTTCAAACATCATCTCGCGCGGAGAACACATCTTTCCCTCAAATCTCTCACAACCGATGAGGTACAACTCAAGAGATGTGCAATCATTAGTCGGGTTGTTTGGAGCAAGCGAAGCACAATCCTCCTAGCGGTGTCACCATTGACCAATACATAAGCAATATTGTTGCTTTTTGATTCCCACATTCGTATTACGTAGAGCATTCTCATCAATTTGAGCATCGGTTTGTTTTAGGTTAACATAGCCCTAGAGAGGTACCGACAAACAACCAAGTTAATGGCCAGATTTTTTGGCCTCCAACACTGTTGTAATTTGGTTGGAAGGCTGGGATACGACAACATTGAGTTTGCGTGCCGCCTGCCGGTCTCCAAACGTATATGGAGGGCTCCCTATGCGTTGTGACAACTGATGATACGGCAACTCTGGTAGAGTTGCTCTTATGATTGAGTATCCAACGGCTTACCCAGCTTCCATTCTTTACATATTAAGGTAAAAACACAACCATAATTTGGATTCCTCTGCAATCCCCTCCATCAAGAATCCATTCCTGGGAAACGGTTATGTCGCTCCTGCATCCCCTTCATCCTCCATCTTTCAGCATGGCGATTTTGCTGACGCATCTTGGATCGGGCAGACATGCTTCCTTAATACTACGCACAGTGGATCTGACGGCTGCCATGGCAGCAACCGGCACCAGGCTGGACCGCGTTGCAGCAGATGGCCGATCTGGATGAGGGAGAAGTTAACTGCTTCTTCGATCTAGTATTACTAGGTATAAATGCTTCATTCACGAACAATGCCTGTCCAGAGAAAACACTAGCTGGTGGCATATATAAAATGAAAATTGGTTAGATGTTCCTGCCTAGCCTTGGTTCCCCCATACATAGTCCGGGTCCTGCCAAAACGCCACTGGTGTCGTGATGCCTACACCTTGTTTATTTAGAGTGTACTCGCAGCGAGTCAATCTGTGCAGCTAGCATAACCAACTCAGTCGCCGATACGGATGAATATTTGGCCTTTTATTTGATCGCACGATACACGCGATGACCGAGACCGCGCCACAGTTGACTCCTGTGTAGGGCAGCTGCCTCGCTCCGCCTACGCGGCTACAAGTAGCACGCGTCGTGGCTGCTAGCTAACGACGAGCGCCGAGCCAAGTAAACCAGAGTACTGCCAGCACCACGCTCGCTCCGCGACGTACGCGCGGCCATGTCGACCACCGAGGCGCTCCTCCCCGCCTCCGCCAGCGGCGGTGGCGGCGGCGAGCGCTTGAGCATCGACGACGCGCTGGCGTTGCACGCGGGGGAGTTCGGGAGGTGGCAGCTGTGGCACTTCCTGCTGGTGACGGCGGCGTGGACGCTGGAGGCGATGCACACCATGGTGATGATCTTCGCCGACCGCGAGCCGGCCATGTGGTGCCCCGCGGGGGACGGGCGGTGCGGCGACCGCTGCGCCGGCGCCGCGGCCGGGTGGGAGTGGGAGCAGGGGAGCGGCTCGTCGACCGTGGCCGAGTGGGGCCTCGTCTGCGGCGAGCGCTACAAGGTCGGCCTCGTCCAGGCCTTGTTCTTCGCCGGCTGCATGATCGGTGAGTACGTCACTCCTCTGCTCTGCTCCCATCGGTTGAACGGCTCCACCGTCCGTCTCGATGGTTCGTCTATCCTATCTAGCCGTCCTGATGGCGATCCGTGATTGCTCTCTAGCCGCTTACGACATCACAAGCGTTGTACACCTCTTGTTGTATTTTACCTCATCCCTTGTTGGACTCTCGCTGCATATTTTTCTACTCAACTGCAGCGGAATCTGTCAGCCGTAACGTAGTAGTATAAGCAGGTAAAATGTTGCATTTACTGTCATCCAGCAGTGTTTCCTTTTTTTAGATTAGCAAGTTGTGTTCGCAATTACTGCACAATCAAATCAACCACTCATAGTCTGCTCAGTGGCTTATACTATGAACGCCATTTTTAGAGGAAAAAAACAGGAAAGTTCCGTCGGTAGGTGACTGGGCAGTGGCTGACATGTTAGTTGGCCCACATGTTATTCACATAAGTTAAGTTAGAGGAAATTGCTGGAGTAAGTAAGTTATCAACTGGATTACAACACAAAACCTGGTTCAATCCAACAGCTTTTTTTATGTTGTCATTTTTGTTTCATGTAGTTGTTCATTATATTGTTTGCGTGTTGCAGGCGCTGGCGTTTTTGGGCATCTGTCAGACTCTTTTATGGGTCGGAAGGGGACACTACACGTGGTGTGCTTTCTCAATGCCATCTTCGGCCTCCTCACCGCGCTCTCCCCCAATTATTGGGTCTACATGGCCTTGCGCCTTCTCACAGGATTTAGCGCCGGAAGCGTTTGCCTTTGTGCCTTCGTCCTCGCCACGGAGCCGATAGGCCCAACCTATCGTGGGGTCACCGGCATGTCCACTTGCTACTTCTTCTCCGGAGGCATCGCAGCCCTTGCCGGCATAGCCGCGATGTGCCAGTCATCCTGGCGCTTGCTCTACGTCGTCACTTCCATGCCATCCCTTGTCTTCGCGCTCGTCGTCATGCCGTTCGTATCCGAGTCCCCGCGTTGGTACCTTGTGCGGCGGCGCACCGACGACGCGATGCGGATTCTACGAAACATTGCATCCACTAATGGCCGAAGCATCCCAGATGGTGTCACCCTCAAGCTCGATGATGAAGATGACCTCAACAAGAAGGTTGAGGAGTCGTCGTCGACGATCTTGGATGTGTTTCGATCGCGGGCAACGCGGGGCAGGCTCGTGCTCTCGGTGATCATCAGCTTCCTTTGCTCCGCAGTGTACTTTGGGCTGAGCCTCAATGTGGTCAACCTAAAGCTTAACCTTTACATCAGCGTGGTTGCTAACTGTCTCGCTGAGATGCCCGGGTTCCTGCTTACTACGGTGCTCCTCCAACGTTTTGGCCGGAAACCACTCGCTATTGGCTCGATGATTCTCAGCGGCATTTTCTGCACATCTGCCAGTCTTATTGCCGGTGTCGGTGCCTTGAGGTAATTGAACGCTTCTTGATTTTGCATGTGCACGACAGGGTGAGGTTTGGTTTAACCGCACACAATTGCGTGTCATTGTAGGGTGGTGAGGATGGCATGCGGGATGGTAGGAATCTTTGGAATGGCAGCGACATACAGCCTGTTGGTCGTATACACTGCAGAGTTGTTCCCAACAGCTGTACGTACCGCGGCGATGGGATGTACAGCACAGGCATCGCAGATGGGCGCCATACTGGCGCCCTTGGTGGTGGTGCTTGGGGAGCAAGTGCCATTCGCGGTGTTCGGCGTGTTTGGCATCATTGGTGGGCTGCTTGTGATCTGCCTCCCAGAGACTATGAACAAGCCCTTGTACGACACCATGTTCGGGCTGGAGAAAGGGGAGAGGGCACCTACAAGTGAAGAAGAAGTTATATCGGGGAACTCCGAAATTTGACTAGCTTTTGTAATTATCGTGACTTAAAGATGTTAGCACGGGGATGTTGCACACAAGAGCGATTGGCACATGCTTGAACGAATTGTTATTTGGCTTTGTGCTAATGTCTAGCTTAGTTTTTAGGAATTCAGTTGAATGTTTCTACATGTAGTATGTTTCTAGTTTTGTGTGTCTGTGTATGCCATTCTTTTGGGTCTTCTTTTATAGTGTTAACAACCTCCTGTACTAGTTAATTTGTTTGTTGGAAAAAAATACTCCCTCCGTCAATTTGGTTGTTACTCATGACTGTCGAAAGTTATTGACTGCGTTCGGCAGGGCGACTGTTGTTCATTGTGCTCGGGAAGGTAATGTGGTAGCGCATGGGCTTGCTCGGGCTAGTTACAGAGGAAATTTTTCTGGAGAGTGGCGAGATAAACCTCCTGATTTCTTACTCCCCTTCCTTGTAACTGATATGATTATTGTTTAATAAAGGTTGCCGAATCTAAAAAAAAACCTCATGTAGTCATGTGTAACGTACCCTCTCGTTTAGGGTTTCTCTCCTCAGGCGGCAACTCCATCACGGCTGCGAGTTTACCGGCCACGGAACCTAGCCACCGGTGCAGTCTCTCGTGACTGCTGCTGGCCGGGCTATGGAGAGGAGGATCTGATCTGTACCCAAGATGGCGGCGCCGGCAGGATCGTCGTCTTCGGGGGGCTAGAGCGGAAGAACCTCGAAGAGATGTTGTAGCACTTGGACGATAACGAACTGGACGATGTGATCGTGGGGGAGGAGGAAATGAAGAAATGTGAGGCAGATGCAAGATGGCTCGTGATTGGCAGGTTGAACACAACTCGTCCCTTTAATTAGTTCATCAGCGATGTTCGAGACGCTCAAATCGATCTGGGGGCTGGCTCATGTTCCAAAGTATAGAGAGGCAGGAGACAAACTTTTTGTCTTCCAGATGTTTTGTCTCAATGACCGGAAGAAGGTCGTCCATGGCGGCCCCTGGTTGTTCCGAGGTATGGGATTACTCGCGGAGGACTATGATGGAAAAACAGACCCTACTTTGGTGGTGTTCTATGGCATGTACGTTTTGGCTCAGATTCATGGGATCCTAGATATGTACCGTGATGCGGGTATAGTGGATCAGTTAGCTCGTCGCATTGGCCGTGACAAAGAGGTTCAGTTGGCGCCAAGGTTTTTCTATGAAGGCGATTATGTAAGGGGCCGGGCACGCGTTCTTGTGGCAAAAGCTCTTACCAGAGTCACACCGTTGAATGTCATAGGTGAAGGACGTCGTGTGCTCCCAGTGAAGTATGAAAAAATCCCCTACTTCTGATAGGTATGCGGACTCATGGGCCACAATCAAAAAATGGAGGACTTTTCATGATTTATCCTATGTCCCGAAGCCAAACAATAACTATCCAGTAGGGTTGATACTTCAACTTGTTGGAAATATGCCCTACAGGCTATAATAAAAGAATTATTATTATATTTTCTTGTTCATGATAATTGTCTTTTATTCATGCTATAATTGTGTTATCCGGAAATCGTAATACATGTGTGAATACATAGACCATAATATGTCCCTAGTGAGCCTCTAGTTGACTAGCTCGTTATAGTCATGGTTTCCTGACTATGGACATTGGATGTCATTGATAACGGGATCACATCATTAGGAGAATGATGTGATGAACAAGACCCAATCCTAAGCATAGCACAAGATCGTGTAGTTCGTTTGCTAGAGCTTTTCCAATGTCAAGTATCTTTTCCTTAGACCATGAGATCGTGTAACTCCCGGACACCGTAGGAGTGCTTTGGGTGTACCAAACGTCACAACGTAACTGGGTGACTATAAAGGTATACTACGGGTATCTCTGAAAGTGTCTGTTGGGTTGACACGGATCGAGACTGGGATTTGTCACTCCGTATGACGGAGAGGTATCTCTGGGCCCACTCAGTAATGCATCATCATAATGAGCTCAAAGTGACCAAGTGTCTGGTCACGGGATCATGCATTACGGTACGAGTAAAGTGACTTGCCGGTAACGAGATTGAACGAGGTATTGGGATATCGACGATCGAATCTCGGGCAAGTAACATACCGATTAACAAAGGAAATTGTATACGGGGTTGCTTGAATCCTCGTGGTTCATCCGATGAGATCATCGAGGAGCATGTGGGAACCAACATGGCTATCCAGATCCCGCTGTTGGTTATTGACCGGAGAGCCGTCTCGGTCATGTCTACGTGTCTCCCGAACCCGTAGGGTCTACACACTTAAGGTTCGGTGACGCTAGGGTTGTAGAGATATTAGTATGCAGAAAAATGAAAGTTGTTCGGAGTCCTGGATGAGATCCCGGACGTCACGAGGAGTTCCGGAATGGTCCGGAGGTAAAGAATTATATATGGGAAGTCGAGTTTCGGCCATCGGGAAAGTTTCGGGGGTCACCGGTATTGTACCGGGACCATCGGAAGGGTCCCGGGGGTCCACCGGGTGGGGCCACCCATCCCGGAGGGCCCCATGGGCTGAAGTGGGAGGGGAACCAGCCCCTGGTGGGCTGGTGCGCCCCCATCCCCTTGCCCCCCCCTGCGCCTAGGGTTGGGAACCCTAGGGGAGGGGGCGCCTCCACTTGCCTTGGGGGGCAAGGCACCCCCTTGGCCGCCGCCCCCCCTGCACTACTAGAAAAAGGGCTATAGATGGGATTGACACTAATGGCGCACCAGACAAGCGGTGCGCCATTAGTATATACTAATGGCGCACCACCTTCTGATACGCCATTAGAGTTGAAACTACTAATGGCCCACCTGGCCCAAGGTGCGCCATTAGTATCAAATTTTTTTTTGAACTAGTGCGCCTGTCCAAACATACTAATGGCGCATCCAGACTCAGTGCGCCATTACTAGTTGTAACTAGTAATGGCGCACCTGTCGGAAAGTGCGCCACTAATGTTGTTTTTTATTATATTTTTTATTCCTTTTTTTGCAAAACTACTAATGGCGCATTGTTCCACCATGCGCCATTACTAGTTTAAACTAGTAATGGCGCACTGTGGAACAGTGCGCCATTAGTATGTTTTTTTAAACTACTAATGGCGCACCACCAGAAGGTGCGCCATTAGTAACCTGGATTACTAATGGCGCATTTAGAGTTGGTGCGCCATTAGTAAGTGGGCAGCAACAAGATATATTGGACAGCCTCTCCTACCCACACTCAATTTCTCCCCACTTCATTCTCTCCACCTCCTCCTTGTCTCGGGTGCCTCCTCTTTTTCACCTCATTTCCACCATAGATTCATTCAAATTAAGTGGTTAAATTACCTTGTTTTGATAGGTAAGTAAGGGGGGAAGCTATATTTATGTTGTTCTCCCTACAACAATGTGCACATGCACTTTTTATGGCCTAGCTAGATCTATGTATGTTTGTGGTGTTGCATATGTTTGTGGTGTTGCATATGTGTTTGTGTTTGGAGGTGTACCGGCATTTGAAATGCGATAGTTGCCAATATTTTGCCGGAATGTTGATTCATTTCCGTTTCGGCGAGAATTTTGGCATTAAGCATTCTTTTTGGTCCTATTTTTAGGGAAAGTCATGCCAAATTTTTTCTTGGTTCTAAAATATCGTTTTGCTCTACCCCGCAGGCGACCATGGTCCGCACGATGACCGAAGGCATCATGAATAGGTTTTTGAGGTTCGCGAAGGCCGAGATGCTTCAAAAGAATGAGACAGAGATAAGATGTCCGTGTCGAAGATGCAAGCTGAAGAGCCTTATTGCGGACCCGGATTCCGGGCAGGTGCGGGACCACCTGCTCTTGCGTGGTTTCATGGATGGCTATCGGTGGCAAGGTGATGAATATGACTACGAAGTCGTCCATGGGGGCCGGGCAAGAAATGAGGAAGGGCAGCAAGACAACCACCGCGGCTCGGGCGGGCGAGAAGACGAAGAATCCTCAGGAGATGATCACGACGGTGATGCTATACACGGTCATCATGTAGAAGATGCAGGACATGATGATGAGGAAGATGCCGGAGCAGACGACGGGCATGATCATGAAGATGATGATGCCGGCGGAGCAGACGACGCTGGACCATCGATGGGCTGGGTGCAGGACCCTCATATTCAAGAGCTGCTTCTCAAGCTGACGGATAACGCAAGAGCTGCCGCCCGAGAGAAAGCCAAGATGGATCAACTTGAGTTAGACGCGGTTACTCCATTGTATGAAGGATGCAGGACCGAGGATACCCTCCTGAAAGTAACGCTCATGGCTCTGGAGATGAAGGTAAAACACAAAATGACCGACGCATGCTTCGACGAGAACATGTCATTCTGGCACGAACGTCTTCCTAAGGGGAACAAGTGCCGGACCAGTTTGGAGAAGGCGAAGAAAATCGTGTGTCCTCTGGATTTACCGCACGTGAAATACCATGTGTGCATGAACAATTGCATCATTTATCAGGACGAGCACGCGGAGTCTACCATATGTCCGGTGTGCGGCGTCACTCGATACAAGAAGAGGAAGAAAGCTCCTCGAAAAGTGGTGTGGTACTTTCCGATCACTCCTCGTCTGCAGCGGTATTTCGCGGACCCTAAGGTAGCAAAGCTCCTACGTTGGCATGCGGATAGGGAGGAGAAGAAGCGAGAAGATGACGCAAATGATCCGGAGATAGATAAAAAAGACAAGATGCTGAGTCACCCTAAGGATGCGAGCCAGTGGCAAGCGTTGAACTTCGAAGACCTAGAATTTGGGAACGATCCAAGGAACATCGTGCTGGGCGCGAGCACCGATGGAGTCAATCCATTTGGCAGCCAGAGAAGCACACATAGCACCTGGCCTGTGTTTGTGTGGATGTACAACCTTCCCCCCTGGTTGTGCATGAAGAGGAAGTACATTCACATGAGTATGCTAATTGAAGGACCGAAACAACCAGGGAACGACATCAATCTGTGTCTAGGGCTGCTGAAAGAGGAGCTTGACATGCTGTGGAAAACGCCAGCCAATACGTGGGACGCCGCAGAGA